TATGAAGCCAGTATTTATGAAGTGCTTTGAAAGAGAAAAAGGGAATGCTGATGGAGACCAGGAGTGAGCCTCCCTTCATTCTCTGTTGGAAGTGTTAGTGGAAGTGGAGTTATCTCTTTAGGGTTAGACGTAATTATTTAATAGATTAACATGGACAAATATCCTCCCCTCCAAAAGGACAATCTGTTTTGAAAATATTCTGCTTAATGCCATAAAATATTCTACTGTTGGGTTACATTCAGCTTTCTGCCTAATTTGAATGAAAGGCTCAACCTAATTTTTATTGGAGGGGATGTAGATGGCTATGACTGTAACAGAAAATTTGAGTCAGTCCTGATTTGTAGCTTACAGTACAGAGGGTGCCCCATGGCCCATCTGGCCAATCCCCAGGTCCTGCTGCCCCTGCCTCCTCATCACTGCTCACATCCTGATTCCCTCTACCGTTGTTCCAGATCTGGCCTCATCCCAGTTTGCCCAAATACTGTGGCAGCTTTCCCATAGTCTCCCCACCATACTGTGGCCACAGTGACCTCCTCCTCTCTCTTGCTCTGACAATCTGAACAGATTCCTGCTATGCTTAAAGTTGGACTCACAGTGGGGTTGCCTCACACTGATGTCTCTGTGAGTTGTGAGGTGGGTCATAGGCCATGTATTACTGATAATAAAGCCCCAAAGATTCCAGTGAGGCATTTGTCTTAGCTCTGTGTCTAGAATACCTTCCCCCATCGCTCAGTCACTGGCTCTGATATCTGGCAGACTCCTGTTCCTGAAGGTCTCAGCTCAGATGGGAATCCACAGTCTTGACTTCCCCAGCGAGTTCACACTCTTCTCCTAAAGCCTTGCTATGCTTTGTGTAGACTTCCACATAAGACTTGTCTTGTTTGATTGCAATTGTTTATTAAGCTCCTTGAAGATAGAGACCGTGTCTTAGTTTTTTTTACATGGTTAGTAAATAGCAACTTCTAGTACATTCTAGGCACACAGTGAACATCAATGGATGTTGAATAAATAGATTAGTACTACCACTGATATGGGGTAGAGATTCCCGTTAACTAGGTCAACATTTTTTCTCCCATTCCTGCTATAGATGACAGCAGGGAAAAACCTTTCTCCCTAATTATGTTATATAACATTGTCCCATAAAGTTTCTGCATTTTGAGAGCAAAGGCTGAAAGACTTTTTCCTTCATAAAATTAAAGATCTTGATTATTGGCAAAGAAATGATGCTAGATTCATTAGAAAGAGAGTGGTCTAGCAATTCTTTCTCTGTTTCTGTAACTAATTACAGATGAGTAATTTAAAAAAATTAGTATCCATAAAAATCAACTGCAAACCAATAAGGATGATGAGTTGAATCATAAAAATTCCATGCTATTTATATTTCCCCACACACACTCAGTGCATTTATTCTAAATGGAAAAGTACAAATATTGGGATAAAAACATTTAAACTACAGAAACAAGAAATTCCAAATGCTAATCCTGCCTAAAGGGCAGAATTTAATTCTGTGCTAAGCTACTGTATGTAGGATTAAGAGGCGTGGTTAACTGAACATTTGAGAACAATTACCACTGAGTCTATCATACATTTGTCTCACACATAATTTACACAATAAGCCCACAGTGGAGACTAATAAAAATGCTGTTTGAAACATTTTTTTCCAGCCACAAATTTTTCAGGCATCTCCCTCCCGGCCCCCCGATTAAAGATCATTTACTCCTATGGACTTAGGTTGGATGGCAGTGAGAGATTTTTTTTCTCTGATAGGTAGGGACAGAGAAATAACATTTCTAACTTGTTCTTCTTGGCTGTGTCCTTCCAGCCAGTCTTGGGCATCTGAATATGGAAATGCATGGTCCCTGTAGTTGTTTTATGGAATACTTCAGAGTGGAGTGGACATGCAAAGGAACACTTTTATTTACCCACTTATTTGTTCATTCAACAAACACATATGCTCCCAGAATTGTGCTGGGTTCTCAGGATACCAGTGAATAAGACAGGTCCCCACCCTGACAGTTCACAGTCTAGTAGCAGAGACTATTAAGCTAACAATTATAACATAGAACAAGGGGCACCTGGGTGGCTCAGTCAGTAAGCGTCTGATTTCGGCTCAGGTCATGATCTCACGGTTGGGGAGTTCGAGCCCCATGTTGGGCTCTGTGCTGACAGCTCGGAACCTGGAGACTGCTTCAGCTTCTGTGTCTCCCTCTCTCTCTGACCCTCCCCTATTAGCACTCTGTCTCTCTGTCTCAAAAATAAACATTAAAACAATTTTATAATACAGAACAAGAAGCCAGGACAGGTGGTACTCAGAGAGTTGCTGTGGCTCTGACACCTGTCTGGGATGGTTAGGGAGGGCTTCTAGCAAGAACTGCCATCCAAGTTGCATCTCAAATGATTTCTAGGGCCCAAACAGTTGAAAGAGGGGAGAAAAGTAGAAAATTCACAGCCCAGGGAAGAGCTGGCAGAGATGAGATTACAAGGGGATGTGGAAGAAGATAAGGCAGGATGGTGCTTACTGATGGAGTAGAGCAGATATCTGCAAAGATATGGGGTCTGAGACTCTAAAAGCAACTGCGTCTGTGGCCCTCCTTCCCCTCTTTCCTTGGGACACCTGCCAGAAAGAAGATAGCTGAAAGTTCAAATATATTTGAAAGAGACATTAAATTTCTGTGCAGCAGCATCTTGGCTGGACTGATTCTGGCATTTGCTCTCATTTTAGCATTTTGCAGGAAACAGGGTGATATGTGCCATCAAAGCCATAACTTTCCAACTACAGCCCAGCTCTCTGGCTGTAATTCCGTATTTGGCAAGAGCGTGACCTGGGGCAAGGGATTTCACCTCACTGTGCCTCAGTGCCTCACCTTTAGAACAATTTGCAGAAGGAAATGAGTGACTGTATATAAAGTACTCAGGACATAGCTTGGCACAAAACAAATGCCCAATAAGTATTAGCCATAATTATTGTACTCTACCCATGGGAAGTGCCGATGAAGCCAGTTATTTAAATAACCAGCACGTTATTTATAGGACTGGGCCCAGAAGTAAAGCTGTTGTTTAATGTCTTTGGCACTAAAAGGAGATTAGAAAAGTTAACCCTGTGAACACAAAGACTGAACTTTGGCTGCCTTTCAAAAGTTACAATGGAAGTTTCTGTTTATAACCATTCATTGAACATTCATTATCACCACACTTAGTGAAATGTGTTTACTGAATATCAGGCCTGGGCATACAAAGATACCTGAGTAGGTCTGAAAATCTGTTATTCATTCAATACATGCTTAGCAAGTATCCAGAAAGTGCAAATCACATTGAGGATAAAATGATGATTTGGACCTTCCAGCAGAAGGTGATACATGCTACAAAGAAGCAGAGATGGTAATAATGAAAACCTGCTGAATGCTTTCTTTATACCATGCTCTGTGCTAAGTGTCTTACTGGGATTATCTCTGAGTGCCTGGGAGCTGAGAGGATGGAATCATGGTTCTGAGCTGGGGGATCAGGAAAAACTTCATGGAGGTGGAAGTATTAGAACAGGATCTTGGGGGCGCCTGGGTGGCTCAGTCAGTTAAGCGTCTGACTCTTGATTTTGGCTGAGATCATTATCTCAGAGTCACGAGATCAAGACCCATGTCGGGTTCCATGCATGTGGAGCCTGATTGAGACTCTCTCTGCCCCTCCCCCCACCCTCTCACTCATTCTCTCTCTCTCTCTCTCTCTCTCTCTAAAAAAAGGACTGGATCTTGGAAAACACTTCTGGAGTGTTATGCTTAATCCTGGTTTTACAACTGAACGGGTCCAATGGCTTTTTCTAAAGATGCTTTTTCATACAAAAGGTTATTTTAAAGGAAATAGCCAACAAAATGGGAAAGTTTCTACTAAAAACTTTCGTCTGGCTACAAAATAGAACTACTACCAACCTGAGTCCAGCTGTTGCTTAAAAAATTAAGAACTTCCCATTACATTCTCCAATGTGATAGCCCTGTTGCCTGCAATGCAATCCAATCCCATTTCTCCCTGAATGCTCCTTCTTTCCCACAAATCACTGGGACTCATGTTTGCAGCAAACTCTGAAATCCTGTTCCCAATTATTGGTTGTGTAATTTATTGATAAAGCAAAGCCAAATATGAGTAAGAAGGAAAGCCTAATTAGAAATGAAGCACTCAATGTCCCAACAAGGAAAATTCCAGGGCTTCAAAAATAGAAAATCAGTGATGCATAGTTTGAGGGCTTTGTCACCAAAGAAATAATCCCAGTACTTAATAAACCAGAAAATGGATTAAACAGATGGGGCAAAGTTATCAGTGGCCGAGAATGGGCACCTACAGAGAAATAGAATGATTTAGAACCAAAATGACTCTGGTACACACTAAAGAATATCTATTTGGGTCCTGAAATGAACACGATAAAAAAATCCGTATGAAAAGAAATATAAAATCAGCCATGAAGAGAGAACATAACAGGGTATGGGCTGATATAGAAATGCCAGAGCTACTTTAAAAAAAAAAAAAAAGATTGATTAGCCAATTCAAAGAGTTGATTTGTAGGACTTTTTTTTTCTTTAATTGAACCGACCTCTTGAGTGAATCAACAAAGATGGTAACTTTTAGTAGAGTGTGGATGCAGCTTCATTTTAATAAGTTTGCCCTTAAACAGAAAACCTTTTCTCACAACAGAAAAACCACCCCAACAGCACATGTATCTGTATATTTTCTGCCTACACCTACCTGAACATGTTTCTAATCAGTTGACTACCTACATTAAGGCAACTCTTAGAGCCTGCATTTTGCTTTATAGGAGAAACAGCAAAGGCTCAGTATGTCTAAAAGTCTTTGAAAATTACAGGACTGAAATTATAGGACACTCAGTTTTGAGTGTTGGCGAGTTGCTGGATGGTCCTTCCCAGATCACTTAGCCTCCGTGTTTTCTAATTATTGTATTACACAACTAAAAAAATGATATTCACACATACAAACACACACACATGCACATCCCATACCCTTGAGCACGGAGAGACAACAGGCTGATCAGGAGGCTTCTACATCTGCAAGAAACAGAGAACGGGAGACAACAGGAAAACACAGTTTCTGAGTGACGGCAGAACAAGTTGCTATTAATGTCCCATCTTCCAACCACTGATGTGACCTAGGGGTCTTTCCCAGCCAGAGAATAATTTTAGGGAATGAGCTTCCTGGTGAGCTCACAGCTTAACACTGCTTGTATCACCATCTTGAGTCAGCAGTGGATAATGCTGTGCAGAATAAACTAATTTTAGTCATCTGTGGGATCCTTGTAAACGCTCCATAGTGACTTCAACAAGTCAGTGTGAACTTGCTATCTGTGCTTCATTTCCTGCTCTCAATAACCCACTAAGGGGTATTTTTAGATGATGACATCTTACAGGATTTGTCTAGGTGGGTTTCTTTGTTTTAGAGCTGGCAGCTGAAAATTCTGCCACAGATTCCAAAGTCAGGAGGCCTTCTGGTAAACGACCCAGGAAAGTGATTAACAAATATGGAAACAAAGAAGATGGAAATGTGTATCTTATACGTGCTACAGGAAAACAGTACTGCCCACCTTACTCTCATTGTAGCAACATGTTCCAGGAGCCTCAGCCCACAACTGCATGGAGGGAAGACAAGAGGAGAGAAAAATACTTATGCTGAAGCTGATACAATTTCCTCCAGCTATCATACTATACATTTGGAATGTGAAATGATCCCTCAGCTTCTTAATCATCCCGTTCTGTACTGCACCTCTGGGCTCTGAGTCATATTTCATCGGCAGTCAATCATATGCTGAATATAGAACACCTCTAATTTGTTCAGCATCTCATGGGTCACTGAGAAAGAATAGAGCCTCAGGACAAACTCCGCTGGTCAGATCACTCAGGTCCAGGTATGTGAGCGCATCCTGTAACACTCACGAACTCGTATTTCATGGAAGAATTGTGTGTAAGATGTTGCACTAGGGTTTTGTGTTTCTGAGAAAGATGCTGGGTTTGGCTGTAATTATCAAGGAATGTGGAAACCAAGAGGGGCTGAGTTGGGTGAGGAGAGTTGTAGGCAAATCAACCCCCCAGGGGTTGCCGTGAACAGTCAGTCAGGCGGAAAGAATGTGAAGGGACCCAGTCATAGGTAAAAGATGTTTTTGGGGTTTGTCTTTTCATCCTTAGAAACCTTCAGCCCTGGAACATTTGATATCAATTTGTCCCTGGTCTAAAAGGAGACTTAGACAACTTCAAAGGAAGTGTATGAGAGGCATAGGGAGGAGAGAGGGAGGGAGGGAGGGTGGAGGGAGAGGCAGAGTTGTAATTATTAATAGGGAAAAAGAAGGAAATGGTGTGTCCTGTAATTATTTGTGTAAGAAAGGCAGCTAAGAAGAGTTCCAGTGTAGAATTACCGGTTCTTGAATTCATTAAAAGTAACTCTGAGACTCTTGGATTTGGGGGGCCAAGACTTTGCTATAGGAAACTTCATTTAAATTCCTCTTTCCAAAGAAAACACACATCACACCAAGATATACAATCTATGTGTAGCTTCCTTGTGCTGGTGGAAACTCGGCCCCACTGACTGGTTCTTGTCTACCGAGAATCCCAGTGTCCTCATTTACCCCTCTAAAGGCGAGTCTGATGGGCTCCAGTTGAGCAAAGCCAGTCTTTCAGAGCAGAGACAGCTGCCGCTGTCTGGCCCATCTGCTCCTGAAAGAGGCCTGTGCGGCGGCCTCTGTGAACCACGCGGGCAGCTCTTCCACAGGATCCTAAGAAACCAACCTTTTGAGGAACGTTGTGTTAAGGAATGTCTGGAATGTTTTTCGTCCTGAGAGTTCCCGGGAAGTCTATATGGTCCATGATGAAGAACGGGCAGAGCAGTATTACAACGTTCAGGAAGACCAGTTCAGATCAGAGGCAGATCAGGGGGGGAATCATTAAGAGGAAGGATAAGACTGTCTCTTCTCAACCATTAAATGCAGTTTCAGAATTTCTCTCTGGATTCCAACTGCATCACACAGACCACCTACTATCGTTCCAGGCTAAAGTGACAGGGTAGGTGCTAAATAGGCTGTAAATTTTCAACGAAAAAAGTAGCGACTACCTGCAATTTGTTTTCATACTGGCCTTTAGCTTAGTGTGTGAATGTTGTTAAAATATCAGCATAACTGCACCTTTGACTTTATGTTATTAACGACAGTTATTCATAGAATCAGGAAGTCCTATTTCTAAATATGTTTTAAAAGTTTTAAATATATTTGAAGGTTTTAGAAATTCTATTTATAGGTAGGTGCCTGTATGCATGCATACACATACCCATATATGAAAATACATTTTGCCTGAATGCCTTTTTTTATTAGAACTGTAAACTTGCTAAGGCTGAAGACATTGCTTTAATAAAGATATTTAGCATTTAAAATCATATTTAGTGGGTAGGGTACCATGGTCATTTTTTTTTTTTACTTTTTATTTTGAATATTCTTCACCACAGGATTTCTCTGAAACTTTTTATGTGCATTCCACAATAAGAGATACATTTAAAATTTTCATTCAGTACACTCACATGTATATGTTTATATGGCATTTATATACACATATATGTGCAAATGTATATACATGTGTGTATGTATGTGTATGTGTATATGTCTATGTATGTGTGTGTGTATATACATACATACACATATATACACACATACATATGTGTGTGTGTATCCATACACACGCACTCAACAAAATTTCACAAAACAAAACCTACCCTTACAAAGTGAATGCATTTCTGGTATTTTCTCTTCTATTCTATTTCTTAAGTTGTATAAAATATCAATTATGACTCATTTTATTCATTTCCCTACTCATTAATGGGTCATAACCTGGAGTTTGAGAAATACTATTTTACTTGGCCCTTCAAATAATTTCATAATTCTATTAAAGAAAATAAAATGTTGTAAGGCAATAATACAGGTATCAATTTGAGATGAATTAAGGAAATAAGTGAGTGCTAATAAAACGACTGTATCTTTAAGTTAATATGATCATTATGTTATATTTTGAAGCACATTACCTTTTTAAAAATGAGAATAGTATGCAATCCCTTTCTTCTTTTTGAATAAGATTCTTTACAACCTTTCAAACTTAAAAATTAAGTTACCTCTTTTCTTTAGGCTTCTGACCCCTCCCTACTCCCCATTTTTTTTTAAAAGAAAAGATAGGGGCGCCTGGGTGTCTCAGTCGGTTGAGCATCGACTTTGGCTCAGCTCATGATCTCACGGTTCGTGGGTTTGAGCCCCACGTCTGGCTCTGTGCTGACAGCTCAGAGCCTGGGGCCTGCTTCAGATTCTGTGTGTGTGTGTGTCTCTCGCTTTCTGCCCCTCCTCTACTTGCACTCATTCTCACTATATCTCTCAAAAATAAGTAAAAATGTTAAAAAAAAGATAATGATATTTAATAGAATAAAAAATTAAGAGTAAGTCTAGCCTTTATTATAACAGATTTCTACTAGCTCATTTAGAATTATGAAAAGGCCATATCCAGCATGAGGATAAATGCAGAGTATGGCTCTGAGCCCTTGAAGATTCTTTAGAATTGATCTATAAATTTGACTTTTGAAGACAAGAGCAGACATTAGTTACCCAAAAAGGATAATAATTAAAGAAATTTTGTGGTGACTATGTGTGAATATGGAGATTCTGTCTGTAGTGTGTTTGATGATTCCCTAATATGGAGGTCCGGTACTTGTCAATAAAACTGATGGACTGGTCAGAATCCAGTAAGCTGACAACACTGAAAAGACTGCATGTTTCCCTTTAACCTATCTGATTTGTAAATTGAGATTTTTGCGTAATGTGAATTAAAATGGACCCTACTGGTACTTTTTCTTGATGCTGCCTATAGAGTCAACAAATTGGTGTTGAGAGAGAGGTATGTTAAAACCCCAAATACCACAAGGTGGATTCCCTGGACATTAAGACGGACAGACTCTTTTGATAAGAATGACCCTTTGACAATTACCTTACTGAATGGGACTTCTCATTAGTGGCAGGTGAGGTGGAAACACTATAAACTTCGTCCCCACCCAGAGCAGAGAATTATGACTACAGAGCTCTCAACATGCCTTTCCATCCTCCGTCCCCACCTGGCTTTCTTCACAGGGCCTCCCCTGATTTGCCCACCACACCCAATGCCTGTTGACCTCTGCCTCCCTCTAGCCTCTTGGTGCAAAAGGCAGGCAGGGGTGTTCTACTGTCCACTGTTGCATCTCCAAACTAGCACAGTGAACTAGGCACATTGGGTACTTCATAACAAAGGAATGAGGTAAAGAAGAGATGACTAAATGAATTTTAAATTAATCACCCACTTTAACTTGTAGCCCCCTCCAAGAGTCAGCCTTCTCTATATAGCCAGACTAGTGTGAAGCAAGTGCCAATCACTCTTCAGGGCAGCTCACTATCTCCAAAGCCAGCAGGCAGTTCCCTTCCAGGAGGCCTCTAGCCCCTTCCAGCTAAAATAAGAGGGAGGAAGCTAATATTTTATAGATAAGTTGCTATGGACAGCACTGAAACGTACACAGCTGACTCTTACCAACATGGAGGTTAGGGGCGCAGACCTTCTGCACAGTCAAAAATCCACATGTTTGATACCCCAAAAACTTAACTACTAATAGCCTACTGTTGACCATGGCCTCTCGGATAACATAGATGAACACATTTTGTATGTTACAGTATTACATACTGTATTCTTACAATAAGGTAAGCTAGAGAAAAGAATATGTTATTAAGAGAATTGTAAGAAAGTGGGGCGCCTAGGTGGCTCAGTCAGTTAAGTGTGACTTAACTCATCTCATGACTTAAGTCATTCATCTCATGGTTCCTGAGATGAAGCCCTCCCCCCGTTCAG